CCCCCCCCCCCCCCACGCAGTGTGGGTCCCGGCAAGACAAGGAGCCTGGAGTCAACTGGACTCGCCGGCCATTAAGGCAAACGGGGCTACAGGGCTGTGGGACAGTAGGGAAGGTCCTCCAGGGTGCCGGGTCCAGGACCTCGGCAGCTTCACCGGGTCTAACGTCGGGGTTGGGGGGTTGGGAAGAAAAAGAAAACACTGACGGCCCGCTGGCTCATGCCTGCAATCCCAGCATTTGGGGAGGCCGAGGCGAGAGGATCGCTTGAACCCAGGAATTAGCGACCAGCCTGGGCAACATAGTGAGACCCGTCTCTACAAAAAAATAAAAAATTAGTTGGGCATGGTAGTGAGCGCCTGTAGTCCCAGCTCCTCAGGAGGCTGAGCTGAGAGGATCTCCCGAGCTCAGGAGGTTGAGGCTACGGTGAGCCGTGATTGTGTCACTGTACTCCAGCCTGGGAGACACAGTGAAACCCAGAGTGACACCAACTCAGAAGAGAAAAAAGGAAAACGCTCACTGCCCTTAGGCCGGTGCAGACCTCAGATAGGGCTGCAGTAGGGAGATGCTGGGGGCTTTCCTGCCTTGGGCTCAGGTGCCCATCGGGCTTGGACGGGCTGCTTTGGAGACCCCAGGAGGAAGGAGGTCTCCCTGGGGACTGGGCCCTGCCCACCCAGGGGCAGAAGGTCTAGGCTGGGCTGCACTCAGGCTGGCTCCCTTTCAGCATCATCATGACCATCTCCTCCACGCTGCTGGCGCTGGTCCTGATGCCCGTGTGCCTGTGGGTCTACAGCCGCGCCTGGATCAACACCCCCATCGTGCAGTTGCTGCCGCTTGGGGCTGTGACCCTGACCCTCTGCAGCACCCTCATCCCCATCGGCCTGGGAGTCTTCATTCGCTACAAATACAGCAGGGTGGCTGACTACATCGTCAAGGTAAGGCTGGCCTCCCTCGGTGCTCGGAGAGCTCTTGAGCGCCCACCCTCCAGAAGGCCAGGGAGCCTGAGCAGGAGGAGGGGAAGGAAGAAAGGGATGTGGCCATTGTTGAAATAAAACAGCATTGAAACATGGCATCAATCATAGAAACCCCCCATCTTTCCCCAGCTCTGGAAACCATGTAAAATATTGCAACAGGGCAGGAGAAAGAATGGATACACATGGATACACTTTCAAAAAGAGCTATGTCCACCTCCTGGGTAATAAAGCTTGAATTAAGACGCAGCTTAGTGAAAACCACCCTAAGGGGACTGTCATTGCTCAGGAGGAGTGGTCCAGGGCGGGAAAGGCGACCCCAATGACACGGTGTTTTCCGCTCACAGATGGTACCAAATATCAAAGCAGATTAAATGCAGTCATGTCGGTAGAATGTGTGCAGTGTCCTAGAAATGCATCTCTGTATTTTCCTTTTTTTTGAGTTGGAGTCTCACTCTGCCACCCAGACTGGAGTGCAGTGGCTGCTCTCGGCCACCACAGCCTCGCCTGCTGGGCCCTGGCAATCCTTCCGCCTCAGCCTTCCGAGTAGCCGGAATTACAGGCATGCGCTACCATGCCCAGCTGATTTTTTGGTTTTATTGTAGAGATGAGGTCTCGCTGCCCAGGCGGGTCTCAGACCCGTGGGCTCAGGCAGTCCACTCACCTCAGCCTCCAAAGGCACGGGATTACAGGCTGAGCCACTGAGCCCGGCTTCTGTATTTTCCAAAGTGGAACTCTCACTGTAAGAAACCAGTAGTGGGTTTTAAAAAAAAGTTTTATTGTAAAAAATAAGCTGACACAAATGAGACGAAGAGTAACTGAAAAGTTACATCGTAGCAACATAATAGACTACACAGAAGATTGACTTTGAAGGACCTGGGTGAGGAATGCCAGGGTGAAATACATAACTTACTCTGCCATTGCTAAGCATGTTTCTTTCTCCTTCCCTGTTGCAATATTTTGTATGGTTTTTAGAGCTGGGAAGGATGGGGGTTTCTATTATTTGTGCAGTATTTCCAATATTGCTTCATTTCAACAAAGCGGATGCTTTAGCATTGGAGATTTTCTGTTAGTTGACTGAAGAAAAAATTAAATCCTTATCAATGAAATGCTCTTTGAAAACGCAAAACTCATCATGAAAGAGTAGACAAGTTGCTCATTGGATAAAATACGTGACTGTGACTGTCAGATCGCAGGCGGAATCCTTCAGACACGTGAAGACAAGGCGTTGCTCTAATATTTCATTCGGCTTGATTTAAGAAGACAATCTTTTGTGTTTCACTTATGTTAGTTTCTTTTCTAAAGTAATCCAATTATACAGGGGAGCCAGCTGCTATTAGTATGAAGAGGAGAGGTTCTTTTCTGTATATCCTGATGGGACCCCAAAGCAACAAAATGTATTTGTAAAAAATTATGCACCTCTTTCTACATGCTCACACTTTAGTCACCTTCAAAGCCCTCTCCGGGTGATGTGAGACACCTATCAAGATGCTTTTTCCACTGCTCAATTTTGATGACTTTTAGTGTTTCTGTTGTTTTTTGTTTCACCTCTCCCATGTGGGCCAAACTTTTCCCTTTGAGGGCTATTTTTCATCTGGGGGAAAAAATGTCCCTTGGGGCAAGATTGGGTGAATAGGGAGAGTGTGGAGCACCAGGTCCTGCTGTTTTGGGTCAAAAACTGCTGAACACTCACTCGTCATGAAATGGGCAAACTCGTTGAAATAATCTTACCCCCAAATTCACTGAAACTGAATGCAGACTCTCCCAACAACACCGGCTGGCCCACGGATGCCCATGGGTTCCCAGGACACTCACCTAGTGGGTGGGTGGGTGGGTGAGGGCTGCACTACAGGGACCCGCCCTCCAAAAGATAATTCCAGTCTTTTGGAGTCCCCCTCGTATGTCCAGCATTGAGCAAAATAACCCTGCCCTGTAATAAGCATGTATATGTGAATGTGATAAATATACACCGATTTGTACATATCACACATATGTGATGCACCCAGACAATCTGAGATACATCAAGAGCTTATAAGCTTAATCATCAAGCTAATGCTATAAATGCAAGAGCATGTGTCATAACACCTTAGAGAAGGTCCGTGAATGAGCACTTTACACGCAGAAACCTGAGGAGACATATTTAGTAGGCACATCACTCAGATTGGCTGCTTTTGATTATAAGGTGGACAGATCCCTGTTCTCTAATTAGCACACTATGAAGATACAGTTTAAACAATTGTTCTTTTGCAAACGCGTTGACGTGAGCTTTCAATGTCAGTGCTCACCCAGATGATTGTAAATAGTTCGCAGGGACTCTAGAGCCAATGTTTTCAAAATGCAGGATTGGGTTTCTTGTGAAAGCTTTCAGTGTGACACACTCAAAACTTAACATTGTGAATGTTTTGATGTGTAACAAACAGTGTGTGTGGTTTCTCCCAACTGCACATCTGTGGTATTGTACCTTATATAACAACCACTTCAGCATTCTCCAGGGTAGAATTTTTGACTGGCTCAGATACATTTTAAATCACATTTTATGACTATAAATGACACGCCAATCCCACAGGCTGCAAAAGGGGTTCTTCCCAGATATCCAGGGACCCAGAAGTGACCTATCAGCTGTTCTCTCTGAGTGTCCTTTCTTCTTCCCCTGCCCCCTCTCCATTAAAAAAATAATAATAGTCGGGCATGGTGGTGCATGCCTATAATCCCAGCACTTTGGGAGGCCGAGGTGAGAGAATTGCCTGAGCCCGTGAGTTTGAGACCATCCTGGGCAACTTGGCAAGACCTCATCTCTGTAATAAATCAAAAAATTAGACCCGCATGATGCTGCGTGCCTGTAGTTTCAGCTACTTGGAAGGCTGAGATGGAAGGATCGCCTGAGCCTAGCAGGTCAAGGCTATGGCGGCCATGAGTGTGCCACTGCACTCCAGACTGGGTGACAGAGTGAGACTCCAACTCAATAATAATAATAGTAATAATAATAATGCTCGTTACCAGTATGAAAACCCAGGAGGCTTAGGTTTCCACCCTCCTACTGCTATAGCGTGTTTACCTGAATGAGTGAAACGTACCTGTCAGAACACCAAGACGACTTACATTCTGTGCAGGACTCAGCTGGCCTCATCTAAACACCCTCTCCATCACTGGCAATTACAGGTGGGCTTCTCATGTGCAAATGAAAGGGGGGGGGGTTGCAAAGTTGCAGAGAATTCCTCACCTCTTGTATTTACATTTTTTCCTCTTTCATGATCTAAGAGTAGGTCACTCTTCCAATGTTGCAAATATTCCTCTGCAATATAAAATCTCTCAAAGGGTAAAAATATCACACACTACATCTCATACGACTTAACAGCCTTTTATCTCATGGACAACATGAGGACTACATTTCTCGTAGGAAACATGGAGGCCTGCTCAGGGACAGTAGATGCCCACCTGCCCACTCTAATCATCAGCCTCGGGTATTGGGTGCCATTCTCACTGACCCATTCATAAGAGACCCGTTCACAAACTGGACGCATGCACAGAGTAGCTGAGACCCCACAGCCAGGTTCCATGGGAGAGACTGAGAGCTACAGTCTGCCTGGAAGAGGAGCCTCCCCTCATGGTTCCTAAATCTGAAAGCTGTTTTTCAGAAAAGTTGTTGTTTGCTGGTATTTTATATATTTATTTATATTATTTATTTTGTATTTATTTTTTTGAGTCGGGCTCTCATTCTCTCGCCCAGGCTGGAGTGCCGTGGCAGGATCACAGCTCACTACAACCTCAGCCTCCTGGGCTCAGGAGAGCCTTCTGCCTCAGCCTCTCGAGTAGCTGGGAATGCAGGCGTGCACTACCATACTCAGCTAATTTTTTGTAAAGATGAGGTCTCACTATGGTGCCCAGGCTGGTCTGAAACTCCTGGGCTCAAGCGGTCCTCCCACTTCGGCCTCCCAAGATGCTGGGGTTACAGGCTTGAGCCCTTGCCCCTGGCCCAGAAAAGCTGCTTTTTAAAAAAGAGCTATCCAAGTCAGAGGCTAGACTGGAAAGGGCGGACTGGATGTCACACAAATTGTCCCTCAACATAACAACAGGCCTCCACGCTGTCACAGTGCCCGCCCTGGGTCCGGATGCCTCCTGGAGAGCTGACCCCCCCATCTTCAGCATGGAAGATCTCCATCTGGGTCAAGGCCCAGCTAGAGGGCACCTCTTGCCTGACTTCCTTCTCCGTTGTCCCTGCTGACGGCTTGTCTCTCCACTTTCTGTCACTAGGTGTCCCTGTGGTCTCTGCTGGTGACCCTCGTGGTCCTTTTCATCCTGACCGGCACCATGCTGGGACCCGAACTGCTGGCCAGCATCCCGGCGGCCGTGTACCTGGTGGCCATCTTCATGCCTCTGGCTGGCTACGCGTCGGGCTATGGCCTGGCCACCCTCTTCCGCCTCCCGCCCAACTGCAAGAGGACTGTGTGTCTGGAGACCGGCAGCCAGAACGTGCAGCTGTGCACCGCCATCCTGAAGCTGGCCTTCCCGCCGCGCCTGGTGGGCAGCATGTATATGTTCCCCCTGCTGTATGCCCTCTTCCAGTCCGCGGAGGCGGGGGTCTTCGTCTTGATCTATAAGATGTACGGCAGCACCATGTTGCGCAAGCCAGACCCCCTGGATGAAGACGAAGACACCGACATTTCTTACAAGAAGCTGAAAGAGGAGGAGATGGCCGACACCTCCTACGGCGCGGTGACGGCTGACAGCCTGATGATGAGGGAGACTGCCCAGACATCCCTCGGGGCGGGAGACACTGGACTTCCCTCCTGCTGAGACACGCCTTGGTGTGGTGGCTCGGGGTAGTCGCGCACATGGTTTACGTAGAGGATAACCACCCGCTCACCTGGTCGTTCGTGTGACGTTTAGGGATAACCCAGGCAGGTGTGTTGGCCAAGCGCCCTCACGACTTACAGTTCAATGTCATCCTATGACTTGCACCTGGGACTGCCAAAGGGAAGCCTGAACTAGTCATGTGTGCTTTTGAGCTCCAATTTCTAAGGCCGTTTCATTCTAGGAACAGTGAGCAGAGACGGGCTTGGACGTGTGGAACTTGGGGGCATGTACTGTCTTATGAGTGAAAACAAGCTGTCCGTGTAAAGCGTAATTGTGTTTAATGTCCTTGCTGTTAAAAACAAACAAAGCGTGCGTGCTCAACTTACAAATACCTGGCGATGTTGAATTTTGACCTTATTCAGAAAAAATCCAAAACAGGTCACTGAAACCATGAAATATAGCACTTTATTGTCAAACCAGTATCGAATCTGAGAACGGGGCGTCTATGTCCTTGAAACGCGGTCGGTCCACGGATAGCGACGGCGCTTTCCTCCGAGGGCTGGCTTGGCCGGGACAACGTGTAGAACCGCTGTCCGCTTGGGACCCCTGTCGCCCTTGAGCGGGGAGGGACACGCTCAGCCCGGGGACTTCCCGGCGGCGCGGGGCTGGTGGGCAACAGACCGAGGCCGGCCTCACCTGGGCCGCGGCCGA